CAAGAAAACAAACAGATTCATCCTAGAGAGGGTTAAACCAGGCTACTCCTTGGAGGCAAGGATTCTGAGGCTTCATCTGACATACTTTGGACATGCTGTAAGGAGGGACAAGTCCTTGGAGAGGGACATCATGATTGGGAGGGTGGAGGGACAGCACAGGAGGGGAAGACCCTCTCTGAGGTGGATTGATTCAGTTACTTGGGCAATTGGGATGGGTGTGTCAGAGGCAATGCAATTGGCACAGAATAGAGCAGGGTTTAGGGCTGTTGTACATAGGGTTGCTATGAGTCGCAAACGACTCAATGGCACATAACTACAACAACAACAATTATTGGTTTTAAGAAGACCTCAGGGGATAATTTTAGTATAAAGTTTATATATTATTTCAGGGCAATAGTTTTAGAGGTTCATCTACCCTCCATGGCTCCAGAAAGTCTAGAATTCATCAGAATTTGAAACAGTCTTCCACATTTCCACCTTTTAATCAGGATTCTTCTGCTGAATCTCTGATCAAATGTTCAGTAATAGCAGCTGGCACCATCCAGTGGTCTGGTCTCATGGTAAAAGTGCCAGCTGTTCTTGGAGGAACATTCCATGTTCCCTTATTTCTTACTTTCCTCTTCCTCTGTCGCTCCAGGTGAATGAAACCAACTTGGCTGGTATGTGGTAAGCTTTTTTTTTTTTTTTAAGAATTCTGTAAAATCAGTGGTTTAGTCATTGCTTATACACCTTTTATAAGAAACACAAATTGTGACTATACACATGGACCTCACCTGATGGCATACACAGGAATAAGACTGATTACAAACTGTTGTAGAATCTCAATAACAGCTATGAAAACTAGGCCAGGTGCTGATTGTGGATTAGATCAACTACTTGTTATGCAAGTTCAAACTGAAGCTAAAGAAAATCAAATCAAATCCACAAGAACTAAAGTTTGACCTTGAGTCTATCCCTTCTGAATTTAAAGACCATCTCAGGAACAGGTTTGGGCCTTGAATACTAATGAATGAAGAACAAATGAGCTGTAGGAGGCTATCAAGAATATCATCCATGGGGGCAGAGCAGTTTGAACGAGATGAAGATGGAACCAGAGCCGGACACAGGCACTGGACTTGGTTCAGCCAAGAGCCAAAGATGGCAGTGAGCGTGTTTTCAATGTCAGTCACCAGTGATAACCTAAGTCGACCTCAAATACTTCCCAGTGGACTAGGAGACAGAACAGCACCATTAAATTCACTATAAAGCCAATTAACGGGGCTGTCCCATGAAGCCATGACCCTAAATTTCCAAACTAAGGAACCTAATCCTATGAGGTACTTAGATGGACAAAAGCAGCCTATTCCTTTTTTTGTCATTGTTATATATTTATCATACAACTTTTGCCAATTCAGCTTTTAACAAGCATAGAATTTACTGCCAGCAATTTTATTATTTTTTTTACTGCCAGCAATTATTATAATCAGCTATGAAGTCTTCCTTTCTTGCTGTGATTTCCCCTCCTCCCTTCCCTCTCTGGCAACCACTAAGTCTGCACACATTTACCTTTTACGGTCTATTGATGTGAGGTCATACAACATTTGTCCTTTTGTGATTTGTTCACTCAGCAGAATGGCTTCAATTTTCAACCCTATTATGACCTGAATTAAAACTCCATTTCTCCTACTTGCTAAATGTATGTGCGTACATCTCCTACTTCATTTTGTTCATCCCCTTTGAGAGGCATGTGGATTGTTTCAATCCTTCAGTTGTATGAACAATGTTGCAATGCACACTGGTGTACAAGTCTCTTCTGACAATGTCTTTGAAGAACAAATGTTTTTAATTTTTATAAAGTCCAACTTATGGTTTGTTTTTCCTTTTGTTGCTATTATTTTCAGTATCTTTTCTAAGAAATCACTGCATAATCTAAGGTCATGAAGATATGTTTCTCTTGTAAGAGTTTTCTACTTTACTTGACCTATCACACTTGCAAAGCTGGAGGGGTCAGTGAAAGAGAAGACGACCTTCAACAAGATGGACTGACACAGTGACTGCAGCAATGGCCTCAGGTGCGTCAGATGATGAGGAAGGTGCAGGATAGGGCAGGATTCGGATCTGTTGCTCCTGGGCCACTGTGAGTCATACTCCACTCAATAGCACCAAAGAACAGCAGCAACATGATACATTTTTACTTTTTTTTCCCCTTCTGTAGATTGTATGAAGGTCTAAATTTACTCTGTGATAATTATGTGGATGTTGTCCTTTATCTTTGGCGTTTTGTACTGACTCATTTTCACACTATTAAAACCAATCATGTATTCCTGGATATCCTACTGAAGTGTATGATGGTCTAACACTCCTGCTGGAGTTGATGTGCCAGTATCTTGTTGAGAATTTTTTGTATTATGTTCCTAAGGGACACTTGTTTCTAGATTTCCTGTGATATCACTTTTATAGTTTTGGTATCAGGGTAATAACTGGCCTCAAAGAATGAGTTGGGAAGGGTTCACCCTATTCTATTTATTTAAAAGAGTTTGTAAAGGGAAAGTGGTCATTTTTCAAACATTTTGTAGAACCCATCAATGAAGTCATCTAGGTTTCAGCTTTTCTTTGTGGGAAGTTTCTTGTTAAACTTCAATTCCAATTGTATGTTTCCTCTTGAGTCAACTTTAGCAGTCTGTGTCTTCCTAGAAATCTGTCTGCTTCAGCCAGTACATACTTCTTTTTTATCCTTTTTATTTCTGAACATTGTTAATAACTGTACCTTTTTCATCCTGATTTTAGTAATCTGAGTCTTCCCTCTCTTTTGTCTTGGTCAGATTAGGTATCTGTCATTTTTAACAACCTTTTCCGAGAGCTAACTTTTAGTTTCATTGATACTCTTTAATATTTCTATGCTCTCTTTCATTTATTTCCACTCTGATGGAAATAAATTTCCACTCTACTTTCTTTAGGTTTAGTTTGGTTTTTACTTTTTTAAAGTGAAAGGTTAAGTTAATGATTTAAGAGAATTATTTTAATACAGGTGCACAGCGGTATAAATTTCCCTCTAGCAGCATCATAATACATTTTGGAACATATTTTTTCATTTCCCTTACTCCTTTTCTAACTATTTATTCTTTAGGAATGTTTAGTTTAATTTTCTCATATCTGTGACTTTCCCAAATTTCCTTTTATTACTTACTTCTGATTTCATCTCAGTGTGTTCTGAGATTTGTTTTATGGTCTCATCTTTAGTACACAGGTCATGTTTTGTTTAAATGCACCTGAGTATTTGGCTACTGCTGGATGGTGGAAATGTCTATTAGGTTTACTGTTTTCCAGTGCTGTTTTATAGTTCTATTTCCATGTTCACTTGCTTTCCTCCTAAATTTCTCATCGTAAATGCAACACTAATGATTATCACAGGGGCTCACTATCTGAATACTCAATCTAGTAGTGTTACATACACTGCTGGCTATAGGTCTGTGTGAACCCACCAGCCGCTGCATGGCAGAAAGGTGACTGACAGCCTCTGAAAACACTCTGGAGGGTCAGCTATGAGTTGGTTTCAACTCAACAGCAATGAGTTTGAATTCTTTTTCGTATCAACAAAATACTATTTAATTAAAATTTTAGGCTGTCTTTTTCCTAGTTAATCAAACCTGCCTTACGAACCTAACAATGGAGACAGAATTAGGAATGCAGAGCAGTTCCAGATCTCATATTACTTTCTACATGCAGCACTAGGAAGGGCCCAATTTGCTTACCATGTAAATTAAAAGAAAACTTCAGATATAATTTATCCTAAAACAACTAACTCATTGTACAGACATTAATGATTCAAGCCCAGGGCCCTCCTCATTAGTATATTTAACTCATTGCTCCAGAATTTTATGAGAAGTATTCTATTAATCAACACAGATGTTTTGAAAAGTCATAACCCAAGAGTGACTTACACCACAGAGCAAGCATAGCATCCTTTCTTGCTACTCTCTCGAATTAAGAATGCACCATCAGGTTTTCCATACAGCAAGTCCTCTGCTTGTACTCGATTGATATCCTCAACAAACCAGGTTTTCTCATCATAATGAGGTAGGTTTTCATCTTCCTCAGTCATAAAATAGGTTCTGAAAATTAATATTAAAATATTATTTTAACAATCATGTTACTGATTTCTAAAAGCAAATACATAAACAGGGCTTGCTTCTAAGTCTTTATCACAAAGAAAAAGTAAAACTTCAGTTAGTTTTGAGTTGGGTTTTGTTTTGCTTTGTTTAAAACTTCATTACTTGTTATGGTACAGAAAGCTCTAGATTCACCTGTTCCACCCAATAAACTGAAATACAAATGTCTGGATGCCAATGCATACTAGTGTTATGTGGACAGACAGATCTGTAAATTCAAGAGCCTCTAACATACTCTTCAGGAAATTCAGTTCAAAGAAGTTGCAAAGTTCTGGATGCCAAGTCCTCAAATGACAATGAAAACTAATACTTTGTATGTATAAAACCCATGTCTTCTACTGGGAACAAAGCACTCTGAGAGAAAGGTACAAAGAGAACATACTCATCAGCATCCTCATTCTTGATTCCCAGCCAGGCATTCAGACGCTTCTGTCTCACTCCTTTGTGATTGAGCCACCTGCCACAGGGAAGACAGCAAGCATCAACAACTGTGCAAGTTCTGCTTGGGCGAAGTAGACATACCTCAGTCAACCAGCCCTCAGAGTACAAGAACTCACTTTCTCCCAAAAACTCACAAAGAATAGCTTTGTTGTTGTTAGGTGCCATTGAGTCTAGTACAACTGATATCAGTGACTCTTTGAACAATAGATCTGAGCCCCATCCTATATTTTGCCATCCTCATCATCTCTGACACACTCAAGCCCCCACTGTTGCAGTCACAGTCAATCTACCTAGTTGAGGGTCGTCTTCTCCTTTGCCATCCCTCCACCTCTCCAAGGAAGAGACTCTGTTAGCAACACGGCCAAAGTATGTGAAATGAAGCTTCACCATCCTTGCCTCCAAGGAGTACTTCAGCTGAACCTTCTCTAAGACATTTCTATTTGTTCTTTTAGCAATCCATGGGGTAGTCAATACTCTTCTCCAACACCATGGTTCAAAGGCATCAATTCTTTCTTTTTTCATACTTATTTACTGTGAAGTTCTCAGGAGCACAGCAAGTGATTGAAAAAAATCATTACCTGAATCAGGCACACCTTAGTCCTCAAACTAACATCATTGCTCCTCAATAATTTGTAGAGGTCCCCGACTACAGATTTCTCCAGTCCAGTAAGTCTCCCGACTGCTGGTACCAAGTGTATTGAGTGTAACTGATAAGGTAAAGGATAACCTTGATTCTCTAAATTAGCCTTTCCACGTATTTTCCTTCATTTGGAATTAAACTCTTTAATGAAAAAGAATAAGGAAAGCTATCTGAAATTAGACATATCTCTCATCTCCCTTTTTCAGAAAGTCACAGGACCGTACACACATACATGTTTGCATCATACATAGGAACTTTTGTTCCTGAAACTTTTCATTCCTAAGACTGCCATAAATAAGCAATCTTGGCTAAAGCAGAAGCCTCACTCCTATGTGATCGATGCTATTGAGTTTAAAACTAAAAAACTAACTTCAAGGTCAATTTTAACACACAGTACACTCAGGGTGGCTATCTGAATACTTAATACTGCTTTTACTTCAGTGCCATATAAATCACAGTATCTTAAATTAAAATCTACTAACATTTTAAATGTAAAATTATATAAACAGTCATTATTTCCCTTCAGGTAGCCAACAGTCTAAAATTAGAGTGGTGCATAAAATGTTTTCATCCATTACTTCCCCTCCACTGAGGCTCCTGATCACTTAGCCCTCATCACAGACATAGTCTCCTCAGTGATGACTCCAATAATTGTCCCAACTAAGGCCATCCCCAAACTCTCTATAATTTTCATAAATTAAATATTTTCACACTTGTTTATTTCTCTCCATTAAAATGTAAATTGTTTTACTCTTTATGGCCCTATTCTTACTACTTAAAACAATTCCAGCACCTATTGTCTGCTCTTAGGTGCTGTCAGGTCAACTCTCACTCACAGCAGCCCTAAGAACAGCAGGTTGGAACACTGCCCTCTCCTGCTTCACTCTGGTGATCCACACCATGCTCAGACCAGTGCAGGTACTGTGTCAGTTCACCTGGTGCAAGGTCTTGCTCTTTTTCATTGACCTTTCCAACCACGATGTCTTTCTCCAAGGACTGGCTCCGCCTGACAATATGCCCAAAGTATGTGAGATGAGTTTCACCGTCACTGCCTCTGATGCGATCCTGGCTGCACTTCCGCCAACACAGACTTGTTCCTTTGATAGTCCATGGGACAGTCAATACTCCTCTCCAATACCACAATTCAAAGGCACTGGGTCTTCATCAGTTTTCCTTTTTTATTGTCTAACTTTTATTCGCAATCACCTGTTATGCATCAGAGAGTTGGACAATGACCAAGGAGGATAGAAGGAGAATTGATGCCTTTGAGCCGTGATGCTGGAGAAGAGTATTGAGAATACCATGGACTGCTAGGAAAACAAACAGATTTGTCCTGGAAAGGGTTAAACCGGGTGGCTCCTTGGAGGCAAGGAGTCTGAGGCTCCATCTAACATACTTTGGACATGTTGTGAGGAGAGACCGGTCCTTAGAGAGGGACATCATGCTTGGGAGGGTGGAGGGACGACGCAGGAGAGGAAGGCCCTCTATGAGGTGGATTGATTCAGTGACTGGGATAATTGGGATGGGAGTGTCAGAGACAGTGCGATTGGCACAGGACAGAGCGGAGTTTAGGGCTGTTGTACACAGAGTCACTATGAGTCACAGACGACTCGACGGCACATAACAACAACAACAACAACTTTTATTTGTATATAAAGAAACTGAAAATACCATGGCTTGGATTTGGTGCACCTTAGTCTTTAAACTGAAATCCCTCCTCTTCAGCACAGCATAGGACAGAGCTCAGATTTGTTGTTCAGAGGGTCACTGTGAGTCATATTTGACTTGATGGCACCTAACAAGAGTAACAATCCTTTTAACTTGTGGGTCTGTATTCCATTACTTCTGTATTTTATTCTAGAGAAACTCTGAAGTTTATAGAAAACTCAGAGTCTGACATCCTTGCTAAGTGTTCTAGTGCCAGGAGCTGGAATTGAGTTGTGGTCTATTCCTGAATGTCATACATAAAAATATTCCATGACAATCTGTTCATTACCCAAAAGTCCCATATCTTTTCCTTTCTCATGGATTCTCTTCTGTGAATTAGTAATTTATCCTTCTGAAAAATGTAATCTATACATCTTGTTCTGATAACATATGTTTCAATCTGTATTTGGATAATATCTCTATTAATTCCTAGATATAGCTAAACTATATAAGCCCTTCTCTTGGGTTTTCAAGGCATTTGTATGGATTAGAGTTCTATTTTGTGGCTTTCCTTAAAGACTGAATTTAGGTAAACATATACATAGACTTTCCACTCTTCTATTAACAAGGCTGCTTTCCTAAGTTCTTACAACCTTACTGGCCAGTTCTCAATTTAAAGCTTTTTCTTTCAACTCTGCTGTCTCTAGTGGCAACAGTGGTGCCCACAGCTCCTATGCCATACAGGCCTAGGCTACTTACACGAGGTGCTGATCTCGGATCTTGCGCAGCTGGATCAGGTCAGGTTTGATACTATTCATTTTTTTATCTATTTCCCGGTTGTCCAAAGCTTGTTTCTTCAAATCCTGCTCTAGACGCATTTTGCTGTCATGAATCTCACCAAGACGTGATTTCAATTTGTCATAATTCATCATAATTCTGCAAAGATATTTTCTATGTTAATGCTGAAACAACAGTCAAGCATAATAGCCCTACAGAATGAGCACGTCCTAATATCTTACATGTGGTGGACATCTCATACTTGCCCAGTGTCCACTCCCTCTCTCTGGTACTAGTCTCTTGATGATATTCTTAGAGACATGATCTGATGCTGTTCTTTCAGACTCAGAGTTATCTGCACAATACTCCAGCTTGGTCAATAAGAATATTACATGCCTTCTCACTGCACTCTCTGGTCATAGTGACTGATTTCAGAAATGGAAGTGAGATCCAAGCTTGCCCAATAAGAGTCTAGACTATAAGTTGGAACCAATGAGATGGCAAACATCACCAATGTAAAAAAAGATTCTCTATTCCACTGGAATAGAGAACTTCTACTAAGTTATGGATATGTTGTAAGACTCCCACCAAAGTCTCACCTCACAAGAACAGATACAACCCAGCACAACCAAAAACAGACCAAAAGATAAAAATGTGAGAGGTAATCCTAATAATCTGGTTTAGGGCCCATTCTAGGTATAACCAAACTAAGTAAAGTTATACAGTTATATGTATGATATGCAAGAAATCACATAGCACAGAAATTAAGATCAATGGCTCTGGAGTCAGCCTCTTGAGGTTTGAATCCTTGTATTACCACTTACTTACTATGGCTTTGGGCAAATTATTTAACTTCACTGTATCTTCATTTGATCATCTTTTTAAAAAGAATACCTACAATGCTATCTACTTCACTGGGTTGTTATGTGAATTAAATCAGACATTACTTGTGAAAAAAGGACCATAACAATAGTTTCCCCATATTGATAAGCACTTGATGTTTGCTAAAGGCAAACAAGTTATGCCTTTTTTTTAACACAAATAGCTTCTTCTAGTCTATACAGCAATTAATTGTCCACAACTGTAATGATTAGGTATTACTGTCATGACAGGAGTCCAGAACAAAGGCTGCATAGTGGAGTGGACTTGGGGGGAGGGATTGTATAGCAATGAAATAATTTTTCTTTTACTTTTCAAAGAGAAGAGCAAACTGGGATGGAGGGGTGAGCAGGGAGAAAAGTGCAATAATGAATGAATGGATATTTAAAAAACAAAAAAGATAGCAGTAAAGAAGATGGGCTTTGCCCCAGGACCTAATTTTATCTAGTGAACTGATCCCCTTAAGGTACTAACTGTGATACTTAAAAAAGAGCAAAGAATAAATAATGATTAATACTTTTATAATAAATAAAACTATAATAAACAAATATATAACTTTATATTACTATTAAAACTTTATCACATTTTAAAAAACTTTTATCCTATTTAATTTTACTTCCTTCTACAACTAAAGCAAAACTTCTTCCTTTGTATTTCTTCATTATTAACAAAAGTTATTACTATTTATTATGAGTCCATCATGTGGCATACATATCACATTTCATTCTCAAAGCATTCTGGTAAGATATCATACAAAGTTTATAGAAGATCAAATTAAGAGGAAGACAGGTTAACCTGATACCTACCACATCTGGTCAGGAATCAGGTCCACCCAGGAACAATGGCCAACACGTATTCAAGTAGATGGTTTTAACCATTAAGCTACACTGCTTCATAGTACTTAGCCCTACACTTACATAACAACATGATGATGCTAACATGAGAAATTATTTTTTTGAATGATATATTATTTATGATCTATTTTTTCATTCCTTTTTTACTCTGTAACTATTTCACTCCTTGACTTACTATTACCTAAAGTTTGATCCTCCCATACTTAGTAACATTGCTTTTATAAAGGCCACTAATATCCTTTTAATGTATATACTCAACATTCTTCATATTTTGCTTATACTATTTGTAATCTCATGGTTTGGATCTATCATCACCAATACAATTATTCCTCTTAAATCCCTTTTTTATCCTAAATTGCAAAGCTATATAAGCTGCTTCACCCTCCCCAGGACAAACCTATTTGTTCTCCTAGCAGTCCATGGTGTATTCAATACCCTTCTACAACACCACAGCTCAAAGGCATCAATTCTCCTTCTATCATCCCTAGTCACTGTCCAGCTTTCTTTTAAATTTTTTAGATTTTTTATTTTAATGAAAGCTTACAGAAAAGTTGGATTTTTCATTCATTCATTGTTGCACATTTCCTCCCTTCTCTTCCCCCCAGTTCGCTTTTTAAAAAACCAATTCATTCATTAATAAATAATTCCTCCCTTCCCAAGTCAACTTTGCTATCTATGTACCTCTTATTCTGGACTGTGTGTCATACAAATAATGTGTAATAATATATTTCTTTTAAACAGTTCTTTCCTTCATCTGTCCCAATGCAGTATTCATTATTTATCCCCTTTTTTGTGTTTCCTCCCTGTCCCCAAACAGTCCTGTTTTATAACGGTGGTGTTGTGCAGTGTTTGTCCTTTTGTGATTGAAATATTTTACTCTGCATAATGTCCTCCAGTCTCACCGATGATGTGTAATATTTTATGAGTTCCTTGTTTTTCAGTGCGGCATAGTATTCCATTGTGTTGACTATATCATAGTTTTTCTATCCATTCATTTCTGATGGGCACTTGGGTTGCTTCCATCTCTTTACTATTGTGAATAACAAAGCAATGAACATGGGAGTGAAGATAACTATCTGGTGACAGCAGCTCTGTTTTCTTTATGGTATATTACTTGTAGTGGAATTGCTGGGTCAAAAGGTATTTTTACTTCGAACTTTTTGAGAAAGCATCAAACCACCTTTCATAGTGGCTGCACCATTTTCACTCCCACCAGCAGTGAATAAAGGTTCCAATCTCTCCACAATTTCACCAGCACTTATTGTTTGCTATGCTGTAGAACTTTGCTATTGTTGCTTAGTGTTCTGCTTTCTGATGCATAGCAAGTAACTGTGAAGACCATGGCCTAGATCAGGCACACCTTAGTCTCCAGACTGACATCACTGCTCTTCGGTACCCTGGAGAGGTCCCTGACAGCATATTTTCTCAATGTAATTTATCTTTTGATTTCCTGGCTGCTGGTACCAAGAGTGTTAATTGTGGAGCAAAAGAAACTAAAGCTGTTAACAATCTCAATCTCTTCACCATCAATCATGATGCTGCCAATTGGCCCAGTGGTGAAAATCTTTGTTTCCTTGATGTTGAATTTCAATCCATATTGAACGCTGCAGTTCTTGACGTTCTGCAGCAAATGCTTCAGGCCCTCCTTAGTTTTGGCAAGCAAGGTTGTTTCATCTGCATAACACAAGTAGCTGATGAATCTTCCTCCAATCCTGATGCCACATTCCTCCTCATGAAGCCCAGCCTCCCAGATGATCTGTTCTGCATATGGATTGAAAAGGTATGGAGACAGGACACATCCCTGGCATATTCCATTCCGAATTTTGAACTATGCCGTGTTTCATTGCTCTATTCCAATGAATGCCTCCTGGTCCAATTATACGTTTTGCATAAGCACAATCAAGTATTCTGGGATTCCTATTCTTCTCAGAGTCAGCCACAATTTGCTGTGATTCACAGTCAAATGCCTTTTCATAGTCAATGAAACACAGACAGACATTCCCCTTTTTAGGAAACAACATTATCCTCTACTCATGAATATTAGGGACCAAGACCACAACATTTTTTACACATTTCCACTCTCTTCTTGCCACTGATTTTATTCAGGTGCTTATTACCTTTTATCTTGACAGCTACAATCACTGCAGCTACCTTCAATTGCTAGGTAACTTTCCTACTCACCTCCAATTAATCTCAAAATGACATAAAAATTTATCTTCTCATCGACAACTAGTCAATGAGTATTGGCTATGAATTCCAGGTAGTTTTTTCTTCAAATTTGTTTTGGACAAATTTGGCTACCATGAATCTCACTCATAAATTATTTCAAGGGTACTATAGGAAAACAATCCACCATAACTACTCTCAATGAGATTAGCTACTGCTGTTGTTGTTATGCTAGAAACTCACAGCAACCCTACGTACAACAGCTCTGAATCGTGCTCTATCCTGTGCCAACCTTATTGTCTCTGACAGGCATTACCCCAGGAACTGAATCAATCCCTCTCATCCAGGCTCTTCCTCTCTTGTGTTGTCCCTCCATCCTTCCAAGCATGCTGTCTCTCTCCAGTGACTGGTCCCCTCCTTGCATCATGACCACAGCATTTCAGATGAAACCTCAGAATCCTTGCTTCCAAGGAGCAGCATGGTTTCACACTCTACAGGACAAAAATGTTTGGGCCTCCTGGCAGTCCATGGTAAATTCAACACTCTTCTCCAGCATCACAGCTCAAAGGCACCAATTCTGCTATCCTCCCCCAGTCATTGTCCAGCTTTCTGAAGCACAGGAAGTAACTGTGAAGACTATGGCCTGGTTCAAGCACACCTTAGACTCTAGACTAACATTGTCATTCTTCAGTACCCTGGAGAGGTCCCTGGCAGCAAACTTTACCAATGTAATTTGTCTTCTGATTTCCTGGCTGTTGGTACCAAGAGTGATGACTGTAGAGCCAAACGAAAACTGTTATCTATCGCAATCTCCTTCACTGTCTATCATAATGCTGCCTATTGGCCCAGTGGTAAGAATTTTTATTTTCTTGACATTGAACATTAATCCATATGAAGGCTACAGTCCTTGACCTTCTGCAGGTCTTCAGGTCTTCCTCAGTTTCAGCAAGAAAGGTTTTGTCATCTGCATAACACTCATTGTTGATGAATCTTCCTCCAATTGGGATATAGAAATCCCATAAACCAGTTTTGCAGAATTAGGAAAAATTATCTGGGAAAAGATGAATCCTAAAGAATGATCAAGAACTGGCAATTTCAAGTATAAAGGAGTAAAGAAGAGAAAGGAAGTTCAGTATGGTAACCATTAGCAGCTATGAATAGTTCATATTCAAAACTATACAGTATGAGGGACAGAAGCAGGTAAGACAGAATTGGTGGGGAAGAAAGGAAGCATTTTCACACTGATGCAACTTTGAGGCAGTAGGGAGACTTACCGTTCAATCTCCTTTTCATTCCCTTCTCTTCGAAATCTCTCAATATATTCTTTGCTATGTTGTTCTTGTGTGTGACACTGTTCCTCAAATATTTTAATTGTTTCATTAAAAGCTTCAATTGCAGTCCTCTTCATTTGTATTTCCTTTAGGAGAAAAATAAAGGAAAACTATACACTGTCTTACCTTTATATTTTTGTGTCTTTTGTCTTAAAATAAATCTTTT